AACCGTAGGTATATTTGCAATTATTGGACAATAATATTTTACATATTACTCGTTACGATTGATCAGACTAAACCGGTTCTGAAGAGCTGTTACGTTTCTTCGATTTATGATATCTTTAATTGATGTATGTAAGTCTGAATTAACGTTACATCAATTGTATTTAATTAAGTCAATCTGATACAATTTATATGCTGTCATAATAAAAGGATTGTAAAAGTATTAAGTCTTGTGTAATTAAAATATTTTAAATTGAATTTAAAAGCATTAAATTATTACAAGTTATTTTTTATTGGTCGCGTGGTAGCTAGCATGAGTGTAGTGTGTCTTGGGTTCGACATCGGGTCAAATAAAAATTATTTTATTAGTATTTGATTTTCAAAATGCTTAGTATCACAACATAAACTGAAGTTTTCTGTTACCTAGGTGATAATATCGTCGTGGGATCAAAATTATAGGAAAGTGGGTGTGTCGTTAAGGTACAACTTCTACCTACCACATTGAAAATTAAAGGCGTACTGCTACATGCTTTTTATTTTACAGCACAAAGGTTCTTGAGAAACGTTTTATTGCACCGTTTCTGTTCAGAAATGAAGTATAAATGCAGTATACAGAGAAAGGAATGTTCTTTTAAATGTGTTTTTTATTCTCATGATTCAGAGCCTAATAATTGCAAGTCACTTAAATGGCTACAAAATGAGGTGTCCGCATAAGTAAACAGATAATCTGATTTTAAAGTCCCACGTATTTGTCGATTTGTAATTTCATCCACATTCTTTTTTTCGGTGTCGCAAGTAGTGATTGTGCGAGACATAATATAATTCAATTTAGACCTATCCGGACAGCAGCAGTAATGAACGAGCCAATTAACACCTACAATGACACTTTAGATACTTTCATAATTAGATTTATGTTTCCTTTTATTCATTTCGATCTTGATTTATACTTTGAAGTTTATAGAACTTGATTATGATTATTCTATTATGCTCACGAAGTTTGAATTTGCACGAGGAATTCCGAATTTGAACACAATTTGTAATCACGATTGTGGCAATAGTAACAGGGAGTTGACTTTAAAAATCATTTTTAAAGTTGAAACTAGATTTATCTCAGAATCGATAATAAGACAAAGAGTCACGTTAATCATTTTAAACTTGAATTGGTTGATTGTAGTAATTAAAACCAATTGGGACTGCCCATGGACACCCACAATACGAGAAGAGTTACAAGGGCGTTACTGGTCTTTAGGGGGTTAAGGATTCGGAAGGGGGAGGGTAAGAATTGGGCTTTTAGTAACAGCCCTTACAGAGTAAAATACGACGTAAACGTTGTTTCACGCCGGATTTCTTTGAGGCCGTGACATCTCTCCGATCGTACCAATACATGTTTCTCCCACTTTAAATTGTTGCTAGTCATTTAGTCATACCAAAATAGCCTAATTCTAATGTATGTATACGTAATAAATATTAATGTAATATTTCACATTCTTTACTGTAAGATTATTACAAATGACTATGGAAAGTCGTTTAGCTGATCTTACATTTCGTAAATAGTGCACATATGTATTTACATGTCCACTACATACACAAATTATATGCTTATAGCTATGAGATATGTAGAAGCATTCATGAACCCACCTTAATGCATAAACTTCTGCAACATACTGGAAACTTAGCCAGTACATTTGTATTAATATTTCAGTGCCGAGTAAACATTTTATTGCTTTGTTCATACGAATAGTCCTTATGTTACTTATAATCCACTATCTTTAAGGCATATATTTACATACATAACGTCATATCTTTCAATCTAAGAGGGTCTAGCCACAGCAGATATAAAATTTAATATTCGTTTTTTTTTATTATTATCATACTTGTGGTCCATGAAATAGGGGTAGGCTTATTGAAATATTCCAGACACTTTGAACTATCTTGGAATCGTACAAGACCTCTTACTTTGTAGTTCCTACAGTCTTCGCATTTTGCGAAGATCTTTGGAATAAAATCGATGTCAGATCGAACGCCCCCTAGCGAAATTCATATTAAAACTACTAAGAACTGAGTTTATATGCAAGCACACTCTTGTAAAGGTACAGCTGTTCGAAGTGATTGTAACCAAGGTGGCAAGATACTATGCTATGTAGTACTAACGAGGTCAGTTTATTAATGTTACCAACTTACGGTAGATGTAGCTACTGTCTTCGGTTTTACATTTTACGTTTGGTTTTTAAGTTTGAATACTTTTACCCAGTGAATAAGGTTTTACTACATACTTAATTACATTTTTGGAAATAATAGGTTCGTGTAATTCTCAACTCACTAATACCAATTTGGTGGTCACTCCGAGGAGGCTAAGAGGCACTGGGTTATCTGAACATATCACCACTTACCACAACCACTTACATTTAGTAATTACGACCTAAATTATTAAGAATCAGTACAAATATGTATAATGGGTACAGAATAGAAGCACATATATATAGCCTCAGCAACCACAACAAAGCAGCCAGCAAAAAAAATCAAAACACGAATATCAAATTACAATCAAACAAGAATACTAATGTTTTACTACATATCTCATTTACGTTTGCATACACTGCTATCAAGTATTTTAATTGACAAGGACCTTTGTCGATGCATACATCCGCCGACAGGCACATTGTTCCATAGCCCTTATCAGATGAGATGACCCTATAAAATGCGACTAGGCGAGATCCTTCAATCCACTGCCTTACTTTATTTACGTCTCTGATAGCGGCTCTGCGTTATGAATTTGATTTATTATAAGGCACGTAATTTTTTTGTTAAGGCTATTATTTTCGTAATTGATTAATTGGCTGTTATGTGTTTTAATTTCTAAAGAAATTGGTCTAAAAAAGTGGATAGTCTCCATAACTTTATGCTTACACAATTTGTGTCTTTGCCTAATTTTCTCTCAATTGTTTTTATTTACTTTTTACTGATATTTTTTTATTCCAGTTGGTGTTGTTGGTGAACGGTTGGTTGTTAGCGAGTGGGACGCCTGTCGCCATGTTGCAGCATGCCACGTCTTCGCAAAGCATTGTGTTTCATCAGCTTCAGACGGCTCCGGTAGCACCAGTTACCGGTAAGAATTACACTCGTTTACCTTCTTTATCATTATGTATCTTTCTACCATATATCAATTTAAAATAAATTATTAAATGAATTGAAACGAAATAAAATGATGAAGTGAAGTGATATTTATTTTCGCAAATGGGTTACAAAGTAACACTTTTACACGTCAATCATTAAATTACTAGATGAGGACCGGCATTTCCTAACTGCCTAGTCTGAGAAGAAACGCCGAAGCAAACTCAGAGGTATATTTATCATAAATATTGTGTTTTTCTTCTAGCACCAACTCCTGTTGTTCCAAGCAGTAGTGCTAGTCATGTAAGTATTTAATCGAATGTTAATACTAGTTTTTAGTTAGGTTTCATAAATCAGCCGGAAAATGTTACACTACAGCTAATCAACGCACTGATCGCAGAATTTCGAAACTTAAAATCGTTGCTGTCATTAGCACATAATTTGGCAAACAATGTACTGATTTTGATTTCACTGTGAATTTAATCTACGTGAATGAAAGTTATTTGAAAAATGTGATAATAAACTATAAACTCGTGAAGAACTGAACTGAATGTTTTATTTGCGTATTTCGAGAAGAAAACTGAACATTGAAATGGTCAATTTATACTTAGTTAACATATACTTTTTCTCCGTTATATATGGTGATACCAATATCATGATACATTACAGGCCAAGTACGAGTATAAATATGAAGTATCGGACCATCAAACGGGGGACAGAAAGAGTCACTGGGAGTCTAGGGACGGTGACAAAGTACGGGGAGTGTATACGTTGTATGAACCTGATGGAGCCCTGCGGACTGTCGAGTACACTGCTGATGCCGTGCACGGGTCAGTAGACATTAGAACTATAAAGTTATATGTGTGGGAGAGCCATGCTTTGGCATGAATGGGCTGGTTCGACCGAAGTGATACCACAGCCTCACAGAATACTAACGTGATACATACAACGTTTGCCGTCTATGTTTCGTCATGTAAGTGAGGTTACCGGAGGCCCAGTTACCCCACTCCCTCGCCTCCCAAATCTCGCCAACCAACCAATCCCCAACAATTTTCAAATTCCCAATCCCCAAAAGACCAGTAACGCACTTACGTTCTCACTGGTGTTCCAGGTGTCCATGGGCAACGCCGATTGCTTACCATCAGGTGATCCGTCTGCTCGTATACTGGCTCATGCCATAAAAAAAAGAATATATCTGGGTTAGACAAAGACTATGGAATACCAATGCTCGAATCTGGTATACTTGTGATTCAATTTACAGCTTACTTATTTTGTTAGTTTAATACGTGTTTTTAATATATTTCTATTAATCACTCTTACAAATAGGTAAATTGCAAAGAATATCCGTTTCTTTTCAAGCTATTGATAGTTTACAAGACATAAAACGGATCGCGTGTAAAAATGGAATTAACATTGTCGATATGTAATAAATCATATACATTACTCGTATAATTTATGATTATTAACTTCCAGGTTTAATGCAGTAGTGAGGAGGAATGAACCAAACAATCACTCCCATCTCAGTGCTGGGTACAAACATGAGTCGCCCACTTCTACGCGTGACACTTATGATGAACCCAGTCCAGGGTACACATCTGAAAGAGGCATATTCCCTGGCCAAGGCAGTGCTCCAAGACGTCCAGGAAAAGCAAATTCTTTTAACACAGGTGTTGATTTCAGCGTTGTACATGGACATTCGGATAAATCTTATTAAGTTGTCATTGGAAAGATTTGAAGAGTAATTGTACCAATGGTAAGGTATGCGTTAATTGAAACGTTGTATGAGATAAATGATATAAGATTATTGAGGCTGGAAGTTATTATTATAATATTTTTTACTTTAAATGTTTAGTTTTTTTTTTATTTTGAGTACAGAATGAATAAAAGACAATATTTTGTAAATAAATAGTTTTTTATTCGTCAGCGCTGGCGTTCTTTGCAAGAAACTTAATGATAAATGGCGGTTACATTTAGTCGAGATCGAAGAGTTCGTATGAGTGGGATAGTCCAGGTTAATGATGATCATGATGACCATGATGATCATGATGATGGCCATGATGGTGGTGGGGGATGATGTGGTGGTGAGCCGTCTTGTGGTGTACGTCGGCTCTGAAACTGTTATGAAGACACATTAATATAAATATATTTAAAGAACTGTTTAAAGTGTGCTAGTAAGTAACGTAGTAAGTTTAAAAATTTGTTTCATCCTATTGTAAGTTATGTGGGTGTTTAAGCATCAGTTGAGGTAAAATTCGTTTCGAACGTTTCTCCGTTCATTACAGTCTTTTTTGTTTTGTTAAAGTAACATCAATCAATGATGACGTGCGCCTTTTTCCCTAAACTCCTAGCTTCACTAACCTCCTAGCTTAATTTTAGCCGTAGCAGCACTTAATACATACCCGTGGTGGTCATCAGCGGTGTAATGAACAGTGCGCACGTTGCCGTCGGGCTCAACGAGCGAGTAGGAGCCACTCACGTGGCCGCCATCGCGGTGCTCGTTGGCCGATTTGTGGTCACCGGTGTGGTGGTCCTTCACGGAGTACTCGAACTTGTAGGCTGGGTGGTGGTGTTCCTAGATAGCGAGTCATGCAATTGTTAATGTGTCAGAACAAAACTCTTAAGTCATCAAGAGGTCATCATCCGAATAAACAGGTTGCTCATAGAAGAGCGTGGTCAATCGTCGGCCACACAATCGCTTACCACCACGTGAGATGGTGGCGAAACGCCACCTTAAAGTGTAAAAAACTTAGTAAACAATGATATCGTAAGTTATAGTATTATTAAATCTTAATTTATGAACACTATTTTAGTTACCCAAAAAGTTCTTTGGAATTTTTTACATATAAGATTGGTGTTCATTTATAATTATAAAAAAGAAATACTTACATGATCCCATTGGTGGTGGTCGTCGTGGTGTACATCGTGGTGTCCGTGATGAACCTCGTGATGTCCGTGATGTCCAATATTATGTCCGTGGGGTCCATCGTGGTGGCCGTGGTGTTCATGAACGTGGTGGATCGGATGATGGATCTTGTGCTCATGGTGAACGTCGTGACCGTGTCCATGTCCATGATCGACACGTGACTGGTGGGACACCGCTGCTGAATGCGCATGCGCACTCACAGCTAGCAGACAAAGGGCGGCCACCTGACAGAATACAACGTTACACTGCTTGTACGGCTCGTAGAACGAATATTCATTTATGTTAATGCAACAACTCATGTATGTAAACCATCCTTCCGAGAATGTTACTTTTAAATGGTGTAATCCGATATAGGAATACAATTGTTATAATTTCAACACTTGACTATGATTTACAGACAGACAGGTAAACTATTAAAACTAAATGATATTTGTTTTAAAAAATTACGATTCGAGTTATTACATTTTTATTGGTGCAATCAATTTACTCCAATGAATAAATAATATGTTCAAATAATTAATTTTTATGAAAGAATTAATCAGACAAATAACTCACTTGTAAAAACATGTTTAGTAATGTTTTCTTGTCAGCTGGACTTCAACTATGTAAAAATCGCGTTTCGACCACCTTATATTCAGAGTTCGTGTGTCGATTTGGGGGTGCGATTCAATTATAACGACATTGCGTAGGATTCTTGGCAATTATGTGAAAAATAATCGAGCATAATACGTGAAACTGAAGTTTCTTTTGCGAATATGAAGGGCACCACGATCCATTGAACTTATTAATTGGCTAATCCGTCCATATAACACGCCAGTAATTATATAAAGTGCAGATAATTAACACGCGAGCGACGAAGGAAGGACGTCACAGGTACAAATGAGATTTTTCTAATCACTCCTTATAAAGCTGTGGCACAGCAGTAAAGTTTCTTTGCTTATATTAGCGTAGCGAGATAGACGTCATTCTTTATTAACTTCAATTAATTCATCTCAATTAATCAGTTAGTCTGTCTGTAGTGTGTCTGTTATAGTTTGAATTAATTACCAACTTAATGTAATTTTATGAATGGGTTCTAAATAAAAATGCGTGTTGCCAGTAGTTAATAGATGGTGATTTAATTTAGCAATTTAATCATGTAGGCGGTTCTAGAGGTATAAAAGGAGAGACACGTGTTTACTGAACCGAAGTCATTAGTGCTGGCTGGATGCTTTAAAATATAATTTTTGTCATCAACTCATCCATATCCTGAATTATAAAAATACTCTTTCAGTGCTCGGATTATACTCCCTGAGATATCCACTTTTGCCTTTCCACGACTGGTTTGACTATGCGTCGTTGATCGGCTTTTAGTCAAGGCCCAGGTTGCACGAGCCTTCCAAGCTATTATGATTTAAAAATTCTCTGTACAAGTCCGGAAATATGTTTCTATAACATGACATAAACAAATAAGACATTGGCTGATGAAAAATGAGTGTTATGATGTTCACCTCTGTTTATCCCATCGGGGAATAAATGAGTAACATATAATATGAAGTTATGTATGTATATAACATACATAACTTCACGCCTGTCTCCCATGCGGGAAGGCAGAGAATATAGAACGCCAATTATTATGATTCCTACATACCTTTTTCGGTTCATCAACAGTCATCATCAATCTTTTCATGCATGCTCGTCGGTTAAGGGTACTTTTAATTTGGCCCTTCTTTAATATATCGCTAATCTGGTCAGTGTATGTATTCTGGCAAAGAATTCAACTTATGATACTTTGTTTTGCATCTGTCAGTACTTGTAAGTTATGTTATAATTATCAGTATTGACAGTATTGACATATTGTGGTAGTACACATCTGGACTATATAGGAGCCTCGTCCACATAAGAAGGTTTGCCGTAATCTCCAGTTTACACTCCAGCTGAGGAGTACATTTCAAAAGGTTTGCCAAAAGAGCGCTAGATCTCTGCCAGATTTGTAGTTATTTAGTCGGCTTTAATAACACCCGTGGCAAAAGTAAGAGTGTTGACAAATATATTTTACTCTGCCGCCACCATATGGCTGCCACAGTATATTTTTAGTTTTATAACAATTATATGATTTAGGTACTTAGGTTAACATGTCTTTTCTCTTTCCTAAACTTATTTTGCTGTGCCGGTCAGTTTAGTATAAATGAATACTTTGAAAATAAAAAAAAAACACACCACACATTCGCTGGTCTCCCATATAACTGCAATGTTGTTAACAAATGGCACGTCAATGACGTAACGCCTGAAATGATAAGGATAGAAACACTGTGTTCTATTTCTAAGTTTAAAGTTTACCATTGTATCAAAGTACAAGTCTAGGAGAGCCATGCTTCGGCACAAATGGGCCAGTTCGACCGAGTATACTTTGTATGACCGAGTATTATTAGCAGTGTGCTTTGAGTTTAATAGCAATATTTACTAATTACACAACGTAAAAATCTTTAAGTACCTATTGATTATCATAATTGGACATGCAGGATAAGCGATTTCAGATTTGTAAAAATGGGCGAGTCATGCTTCGGCACGAATGGGACGGCTCGACCGGAATGATATATTGCGTTTTGTTTCGTCGTATGAGTGAGGTTACCGAGGGCCCAATTACCCCCCTCCCTAACACCCAAATTCCAAAAATCCTCAAATTCCTAATCCCTAAAAGGCCGGTAAAGCATTAGTAACACTTTTAGTGTTCCAGGTAGATATTTATGCTTGGTTGCTTACCATCAGGTGATCCGTATGCTCGTTTAGCAGTTCATTCCATATAAAAGGTTCCGTTATTATCCTTTTTATAAAACAGCTAAGTTCTTCTTATAAATTTTATAAATTCAATAATCCCTTATTCCATGATTGTAAAGCTTAATCGATAATGTTAATCAGTAGTAACATTAAAAATAGGTACAATTTATGTGTCAAGTAGTAATAATTGGATCTACATTCGGATCAAAAATCTGTTTTGTATAGAAAACCATACATACCTATTATAGTTTTAAAATAAATTCACAACAAATTATTGAACGCCGAAGAAGAAAGGTATTTTTATTATATTGTCTATTTTATTTAAATAGTATCATGAACAGATTGAATATTTGCAATTTCATAATTAATTTTATTGTTGTTCTAATAAATTGATTGCATATAAAATATCGGCAAACACATACATGCTACCTTTTTAATAAAAGTTGTCCTCTCGAGAAAAGAACATTACCAAAACAAAAAATAAAATAAATAGTTCAACAAAATAATACAAAGAGCCAAATGAGGTGAAACGGTGATTGGTTCTAAGCTGCTACCAGGGGTTTTCAGTAGATACCCGATTTCCATGGGTTATGATGGTGGGCGTGGCCATGGCCGTGGCCGTGACCGTGGTGCTTGTGATCATGATGATCATCATGGTAGGGGTAGTGGTGTCCATCATCGTGATGACCATATCCGTAACCATGTTTGCCGTACTTCGAGTGTTCTGCCAAGCGGCTCAAACGCAGGTGCTCGATCAAATGGTCATAGTCAGGGAACTCCTTGTGATCCTTGCTCTTGACATCTTTAGGCAGAATGAGGATCTGACCGCCTGGACCTCGGGTGTAGTCCCTGCCGCCCGTCTTCAGGTATCTGTAGTCAAGTATCCAGGTGGGCTGGTAGTAGTCTGGACTGTACACGTCATGGATGATCCTGAAAGCAATTGTTGAAAACATTTAGTAAAAGTACATTAATGTAATGTTTATTGGTTAAAACTGATAATATTATTATCCATTGTGCTTCAGAAAAATAATTAGAAAACGTATGAATACAAAAGCATCAACAGAAAAGTATGTTTCTATAGATTGAACTGTAATGTTCAGAAACACTTACTTGTTTTGAAGGCCGATATTTGGTGTACTCTGCAATACAAAAAGGTACATTAGAGTTTTGGCATAAAAATGATATAATCGAATACTTTATGATAATATTAATAAGCCTCTTATCCTGAACTGTTTTCTACTTTCTTTGTACTGTGGTTGTCTCATTAGTTATAGAATGTCTCTGACTTCATTTTGCCTCTTGGTAAAGGCCTCCTCTAACAATTTCCACTGTACTCTGTCTTTAGCAACCCTTTTCCATTTTGAGCCTAAACGAATACTTTATATATCATTAATGATTCTTACATGGATTGGGTGTACGTGTGAGGTACGTAGGACCACAGGGATTGAGATGTCATCATCCTTGTAGTCGACTTTCACGGGACCTTTTGGTCCAGGGCTATGATGATGATGATCGTCAAAATGCAAGTGCAAGCGTTCGGCACGGCTTCGGATCAGATCCAAGCCGTCATGGTAATGATCATGATGTTCATCTTCGTGCACTCGGATGGGTTGCGCAGACTCTTCGGGCTTAAGCTCTGGGCTCGGATCTGATTCCTTTGCAACCTCCTCCGCTAGTGTCACTGCTACTAACGCCAGTAGAAGTATCTGGAATATAGATAGTTTTTGACTAGAATACAAAATACTATGGTTTTTTGGCATATTATGTTGGACTGTTAATTCACTAAAGTTTTTTTTATGTGATGCATCACATCACGCCTGTTGCTTTCCTAAAGGCAAAGTTGAGGAACAACCACTAATCGCCAATCGTACTCCGACTCCATTGGTTACAGTATTGAACTTACACAAAGTTCCTCGGTCATTTGATTGCTATGATGATTATGAACTCCAACCGGGACTGAATCAGGAAATTAAAACAGGAAGATAAGACATTAACTACATCAATATTCTTTGTTTGATCTCATGAGACGTCACGGGTCCACTAGTTACCCAGTAGGCATTGTTCAAACCATGTAGTCTTTCGATGAAAATTAAATTAATGAAACTTTTCTTAACTTTTTTCTTTTTTTGCGACAAGTTGATAAAAATAACACTTACGAAACGCATGTTGTATGGTGCTCCTCTTGCTAGACGTTCTACAAAACAGATTGCACTTGAACACTGATAGATGCTTGTTAATATCGGTACTTATGTACGAATAATTTACCGGATTCTGAGTCAATAATTATTGTATTTCCTCTCCACTAGTTTAATATACATTTAATAATTAGGGTTACGTATTCTTTTAGGTAGAATGGTTTTAGTGTGAACCTACATATTCTGTATCGTCTGCTGTTGAGAAAAGGCCTCTTCTCATATGGAGAAGGAATTAATTACGTTTATATTTAATTACCCCTTTTTTATGACTATTTCAGCGAAGGAAGTTAAAGGCAATAATGAAAAAGTAAATTTGCATGGTTTCGTGGAGACATGGACTTTTTTTATGGAATAAGCCGGTAAACGAGCAGATGAATCACCTGATATAAGCTATCGGGGCCACCTATGGACGCCTGAAAAACCAGAGGCGTTACAAGTGTGTTACCGGGATTTTGGTATTTAGGAATTTCCTGAGTGAGCCTCCCTTAAGTTACCGGCGGTAACCTTACTCACACGATGAAACACAACGCAAGCGTTGTTTCACGTCTCGGAAGGCCCAACGGGTTGCCGGGGCTCCGGCTTGAAGAGCAGTAGTACTGTAGTAGCACTGAAAATAATACTCAGCTTCTGATAGAACCCATATAACTTAGGCAGTTCACGCATGCCAACTTTTTATTAAGAACGTGTTAATTCTG